GTTCCATTTAAGAAAACGTCGATCACATTGACCTCACCTTGAGAAGGTCACTCTTGGTCAAATCCATATTTTTATCATGTGGCCCCCTCCGAACCCTACAACTTTTGTTTGAAACATTTTTTTCGATAAAGCTTACTTTCCGAGATATTTTACAGTTTCAAGTTAAAAAACTCACCCTGTATATTTTGTATAAAATATAGTTAAAACGCGATATCTCAGAAACTATGATATAATAGAGTTATGCAATTAAAACTAGAGTTATGAAATCTTTACTTTTCTTTTTCGTCTTATCGAATATGGTTCGAAACTTAAGATTCCCTATTTTTGGAAATCTACTTTCATTGTGATAATGGACAGAACTCTTTTTAAAAATTATCAAGAACTTTTTTTTTTGTTCTAAATAACTCAGAACTCTTAACAAAACTATGGTATCGTAACATAGGGGTGCCTACTTCACACACCCACTTTCCAACTGTATAATATTCGAAATATATATAATAATTAATGATGTAGTTATAATTAAGACTAAGCTCGATTGATTTGATCGATTAATTATTTTAATACTATTAAATCTTCAAAGCTTTTAAACAACATCGCATTGAAAATAAGAGTGTAAAATAATTGTTTTGAAAGATTAAACATACAATGTTTAAACTATTATTAAATAAACTATTATAAAAGTAGAGGGCTATTATGATAAAAGTGAACGAATGTGTCAAATTAAAGAAAAAGAAAACGCTAAAAATTATTAAAGCCAAACAAATCGAAATGAGCATTCATGTTGTGCCGCGTATTACTTAAATCGTATATTTCAGAAACCATAAGCTTCTACAAACCACATGCTTCTACAAATCATAAGTTTCAGAATCGCGAAACTAACAGAAGTAAACAAATATAATACATCTTTTCTGTTATCAGTCCAAACGCTCGAGAAATAATCGAAATAGCTGCTTATCGACATTTTGTTTGAAAGTGCATTCGCATATTTCACTGCGGCTAAGATGTCGTCAAATCTTCGCAATTATACAGTATCATTCGTTTTCTTATTTTTTAGTTTGTGAGTTTATTATTGTGGCCGTTAGATTTCTCTATGTAAAACTGTCGCGAAAAAGATACCAAGAAAGTTTTTTCTCAAATAAATTCAACGCACCAAATAATCGACGATGTATAAGAAAAGGCTTGCACTTTGGTATTATACGCTTCTACTTATCGCTTCATCTTCGATGCTTTGACCAAGTTCCATGAGCGACGACAGGGAAAAAAATTATTCGACGGTGCAATATCAGCTTGGTGCAAACACCATGAGAAACTATGACAACGAAGAGGATTTGATGCGGTATAATTTGCACGAAAGTTCTACCAAAGATAGCGATGTCATGCAGTACGCGTATCGTATCAATTTCACGAGTAACAACCGCGAGAATGAACGACCTGATACAATATAAATTTCAAACATATGCCGCAAAGAGACATGAGAATAATAGTCAGACATCGCTGCAGTCTCGCATAAACTCAACAGATACTACCGGAAAGAAAAATTTCATGTCACAGGAAATGCATGGAAATTTAAAGAGGATCAAAAACGAAAACGGTTCTACATCATATGATTTCTTTAAAAATTTCGATAGATCGTTCCGGACAAGATGTGCGACAATAATATCTGCATTCGATTATGTTGTCCTTTCGGTAATCGTCTGGTTAACGGAAAATGTATTGCTCAGCAGGGTAAATTTATTTTCTTGCAAAACATAAATAGATATATTAATAATTCATTGCAAAACGAAAGTAAACAGGTAGACGAACTATTTCTTCTGATCGCTCATGATCCGTGTCAAAAGACTGGACATTATTTACTTAGTTCCGACCAGAATACGTTTCTCGTAAATGGCTCTTTGTATCTACCTTATAACAATACAATCGTCGAATCAACATCTTATTGCCTTGCGGTCGTGGATTACGACAGATTTGTTATTAACGTTTGTTTTGATCTTATGGAAGAGATCATGAATAAAAATATAAACTACAATAAAAATACAATAAATCTAAAATCTATAAAGTTAAATTGGATGTATATCAAAGATAAGAATAGTTCCACGTCGCACGATTTGATAAAAAATTCCAGTAGGGATAATAATAAAAACAGTATTCCAGATGAGATTTGCGATAATATTACTTGCATTAGGTTATGCTGTCCTTTCGGTAATCGTCTGGTTAATGGAAAATGCATTGCCGGACAGGGTAATTTTATTTTCTTACCAAACATGTTTGAATATTTTAATGATTTGTTACAAAACGAAAATAAAAGCGTAGACAATCTTTTTCTTCTGGTCGTTCACGATTCCTGTCAGAAGATTGGACAGCCATTCTCCGTTACATTCTCAAATAAGAACATGTTTTTCGTTAATGGCTCTTTATATCTACATTCGTACGACACAATTATTGAATCAACATCTTATTGCCTCGCTAAGGTGGCTCCTCAAGGCAGATTTAATGTGAATATTTGTTTTAAGATTAAGAGCAAGATCATAGATTACACTAAAAGTGTATTTGTTCCGACACGAAAAGTATCGGGCAAGTATCAAACAAGTACGGTCGTATATATATGCGGCTTTTGAGCGACTCTACTATTTTCGTTGGTAATGTTTATAGTGTACTCCATAGTACCAGAGCTCCGTAATATACACGGTTTCAGATTGTGTAGATACAGCAGTTCGATAGTCATTATGAAAACAGTCGAATTGGTAGAGATATTCAACAGAAGGGCTGATATAGGGGACTTCATCTGTATCGCATATAGTATATATTCAAATTGTATAACAAAGCATATTTAAATTGTATAACAAAGCAATTAATATACACGGTTTCAGATTGTGTAGATACAGCAGTTCGATAGTCATTATGAAAACAGTCGAATTGGTAGAGATATTCAACAGAAGGGCTGATATAGGGGACTTCATCTGTATCGCATATGGTATATATTCAAATTGTATAATAAAGCATATTTAAATTGTATAACAAAGCAACCAATGCAGTGTTTACATCTATTTGAATTATTAATGTATACTGATGCTTTAATACTTTTTGATAACTTAAACATTTAATTTATAATTTAAAACTTTGAAAATACAAGAGTTAATAATAAATAAAATTATACTTTTCGTTGCACTTTAACATCAAGTTAAAATTATTTACATATTTATCCGTTATAAAAATTGTATAGAATTATGCCTTAAATTAAAAAATTATTAAATTTAACATTAGCATATACCTCATAAATGTAAGATTTCTTTTTATAAATTTCCAGAAAGTTAATCTATGGACGTATAGTTTTTTCCACGAATACATAATATAATTGTGAATTTCATCGGCATTTTGCAGAAATTTGCTAATTTACACGTTGTTTATCTTATTGTTTCAGCTTTTGTCAAATACTATTTTCTTTTGACAAGCTGGTTCTGGTTAACTGTAATGAGTATCGATATATGGCGTACATTTAGGTAAACTTCGAAGTATTTTATATTATACTTTAGTCTTTAGTTATAACGTTAATGAAACTTTATTTTCAGTTTTTTCTGCTTTTACCACTGAAATTAATCAATTTTACTATCTATTGTACGTTTTGTCCAATAAAATCATAGTGGCCACTATGAAAAAGATTTCATAGTTAGTCGGCAAATTTTTTTCTAATTCAGGGTAATTAAATGTGCAAATAAAAGTGAAGAATAATTTTTATTGTTGTTTTACACAATTGTTGTTTTCTGGATCAAAATAAAAAAGAGAGAAATTGCTAATTTTTAAGTTATTTTTACTTATTTGCATTTGTATCATGTCTACATGTTTTTGAAATAATTTTGGCAATTATACCATTCGATAGAGGAAAGTTTTAGCCGTAAGAATCTGTTTTTGGAATTACAATACCATAATTTTTAACGAAGTTATGAGCAATTAAAATCAAAATTCTCATTTTATACTTAATCGGCAATAATTCAATAAAACAAAAAAATTTAGAAAAATTAAAAAAGGTGGATTTTGTAGAGAAGACTTTAAGTTTTTGCATTAGAAGATCGAAAATTTTCGCAGATATTTAATTGGGCAAATGACGGGTCCACAAAGTAAGAAGAAAATTTCTTTTTTTGTCCATATCGTAGTTTTCTACATGTAAAAATTTCAAAACTTACCGAAACTCAAAAACAATAGTGACCTTTTGAAAGTAGAGATGTTAAGTTTTATATAAGACCCTCTTTAGGATTTAAATTTTGTTTATTTTTAATGAACTTATACCTAACTAAACTTTGCATATTTTTGAAGAAAAATTGAGTGTTCCTCTAATTTTTATAAGATACTGTAATTAAGTATACACACAGAAATTATAAGTTACACTTTTATAAGCTAAAATGTGTAAAATAGTTTTTTTTATATTTTCTATAATTTTTGTAAAGATTTTGTTGAAAGCTAATTTTTTTTTGTTTTATGAGGTATTTAATTTTTAAAAGCAAGATAAAATTTTCGAATTGATATTCTAAATTATTTATGAAATTTTATTACATTTTTTAATTCGTATACATATTACATTACAGGCCCTTTGTCAATTTCTTTTTTTTAACGTTTGAGGAACCTAAAGTCGACATCATTTTAACTTTTTTCCTTTTATGTTCTCTAACAACTTAAACAAACGTGAACACATCAAACTTCTTTTTCTACTAAAATTTTATCTGCTAAATAAAATTGAAATTCATATAGGTGTACAACTTTGCTTCCGCCGTTTTCCTATAGATGGCTTTAGCGGTAAGTAGTGATCGAAATAAATAGCCCCCCCCCCCCCGCCGTATTCTCCAGACGTTGGTCCCTCTGACTATCACTTGTTTCGATCAATGGCACACGGCCTGGTTGAGCAGTACTTCCGGTCTTATGAAGGAGTAAGAAATTGGATGAATTCGTGGATCGCTTCAAAAGATGACCAGTTTTTTCAACGCGGGATTCGTACGCTGCCCGAAAGATGGGAGAAAGTAGTGGCCAGCGATGGACAATACTCTGAATCATAAATGTATAACCAGTTTTTTACAATAAAGTCTCGAATTTCGGAAAAAAACGGCGGAAGTAAAGTTGTACACCTAATAATTACTATTATGGTGTCTGTTACGTGTACATATATGAATACATAGTTTTTGTCATGTCGTTATGTAAATCAATTTTTATAGTTACATATACATATGATAGATTATCTCAAAAATTTCGTTTAAACGCATTTATTATGTGCATTTGCATTGCGGTTGTTTCTATTTTTAACGGCAAAATCTAAAGTGTAAGCTGTTCTTCGCAGACACTCGTTACAAAGAGATGTGAAACAACAAGAAAGAAAGAAATTAATCCTGTATTCCGCCTACGGGTGGGGAGGCCCCTTTATGCTCGCTATCATTTGTGAAAACTTTCGACCAAAATTTGACAAAGATTGTTGGTTTGATAGTAAGTAAATGCCACATTGACAAATAATTCAATGAATATTAGCATATAAAAATGAAAAATAATATATCTATAAATCAAAATGTTTTTTTCGTCTTAAAGTTGAATATATATTTCATGCACTTACAAAACACGATTTAATATGAGAAACAATAAATAATACTTTTTCACATTTTTATCTTTTTAGGCTATATGACACGTATGTTGTACGTTCACGGAATTGTAACTATTTGTATTATCAGCATTATTTGCTTAACTTATCAATTGTCATAACTACCAAGGATATAAAAAATGTTTTCTTTTCTGTTATACAATTATTTCATTTAATTATTTTGCAGATTTAATCTGTATCTGAAGGCAACTAAAATATTATTTATCATCTTTTGCATAAAATTGCCCATGAACGTGTTGAGTTTTAAAGAGTCATGTACCTTTTTATATACTCTTTTTATGCTGGACGTCATACAGAAATTTTTCATTTTTATTATATTTGTATGGAAGAAAAAGATTGGGCAGCTGCTGTTGAAGCAATTTGGTTGCCAGAGTTGAAATATGTTTTCAGCAAAGCTAAAATTCAAAAAGCTATCGCATCTTCAAACAATTACACGTCAGGGATGACTTCTCTGTGGAAAAAGATTAATTTTTACGAAAAAATAAACCCTCGCGCAAATAATTCGTCCACTTTGACTGATCTTTATTGCTACTATACGCGACAAGAATATTCTATCATAGGTCAAAGATCGGCAGGTATCCAGGGATTAACTACAGTACTAAAACAATTTTTTTTTCAGCAAAGCTAAAATTCAAAAAGCTATCGCATCTTCAAACAATTACACGTCAGGGATGACTTCTCTGTGGAAAAAGATTAATTTTTACGAAAAAATAAACCCTCGCGCAAATAATTTGTCCACTTTGACTGATCTTTATTGCTACTATACGTGACAAGAATATTCTATCATAGGTCAAAGATCGGCAGGTCATCCAGGGATTAACTACAGTATTAAAACAATTTTTAATCAATGATTAGTTTTACATTATCGTTACATTATGTTGATCGTTTTGTTTGACAGAATGATGGTCTTGATTTCCACTTATCAAATATATATTTGTATATTTCTCGTCTCTTTTTTTATCCTCTGATTTTTATTCTTTAATGATATATTTGTAAGCCTTTCTATTTAATTTACTTTGCAATTAGTAGTTTCTAACTTTTTGGTAACATTTTTTATTAACATTATCAAAGAACTGTTGAAACATTTACTTAACTCGGATGTAACAATATTATTATATTATCCTATATTCACGTTATTAGTAGTAATGTAAAGTAAACATATTGTATCAAGCGTGCATATTGATTGCTAAGTATATGATATTATTTATTATGTATGCATAAAGGATGTTTTTGTTAATACATATACTCACACGCAGTCGAATTCTTTTAAGCTAAACTTCTTTATTCACTATAATAGTTGAAATCATCTAACATAAGAATGTGTGCGTATATGCGTGTGTGTGTGTGAGAAAGAGAAAGGCATTTGATAATCCTTTTAATAAAATTTATTTTAAATTTAGTCTGTGTATAACAAAAAATATATATAAAATAATGTCAGATTTATATGATGTATTATACTATATGTTAGTTTTAATTGTATCATAACTGAATGTACACATATGTAAATATACTATATATTATCGTTATCATAGAAAAATACTAGGTGAAGAAACTAGCAAATAAGTGCCGAGGCGCAATCAATTATCACCAATTTCAATTTTAATTTTCGATTAAAATAAGTGATATTGCGCATGTTAAGATTTGAATACAAATTTAATTACATATTGCTAATTATCTATACTAAAGATGGACCAAAAAACGGTCCGATACGTACATATTTGATGCATACTTGTCAATGAAATTAGACAATAAAAAATTTACGCACTAATAACCGTGCCACGTTTCTTATTTTTGTCAGTTTCCTCATCTACAATCTTTAGTACTGTGAATCTATCGCTGTTATTATAGAAAAAATATAGATGATCTATTTCGTTTATTAATATTGCACATAAATAAATAGCATGAATCTGCAGTACGCATTTTTTTACACGTTCAATTTACATATATTTGAAATTAACGATAATGCAAAAATCACGCATTACACTTTTTAATATTTAATCCTTAATACAATGGTTCGCTGTATTTCAAGAAATTAAATGTAATTGAGAAAACTTTTTCTAGAAGAAAAATCAAGGGCAAATGTGAGCCAAAAAGTGTCCGCACCATTTGAGCCACCGCTTTATCCTGTAAAAAATAATAGTAAATGAATTTCTTGACGATACGTGTACGATATGAGATAGGGACAATAGCAAACCGGGTTTTGTATAATATTTAGTTCACACTTTAACAGACATATTACAATAACATTTATAATATAAAATAAAAGAATAAATAAGATTTCTTTTGCATCCGTACTTGACCAATTCCTTTTCGATGTAAATCTTTAGATTCTATATATCATGTATTTAATAGGAAATAAAAACTTATAAAATTATTTTATCAAAAAAAAAAATTGTACAAATATATCCTCCAAAAATAGTGATATCAACAAATTGCGCCAACTGAAAATAAAAATTAAACAAATATTTTAACCGAAAACAATTGTACAAAATAACTGTTTTAATTTCTACAAAAAATTAAAATTTATACAAATAAAAAAAAATTTTTATTTAAATAACTTGGCGCTACTAAACTAAACAATATGCTAAAATTTATGTATTCTTTAATACATTTACATTGTAGTTATTGATGTAACTAAATTAAATATATTTCTATAAATTAAATTTAGATCTAAATTAAATTTATTATTTGTTAGTTTTAATATATACTTTGAAAATTAATAGCGCCAAGTTTTTTAAATTAAAATTTTTTTTATTTGTATAAATTTTTAATTTTTTATAGAAATTAAAACAGTTATTTTGTACAATTGTTTTCGGTTAAAATATTTGTTTAATTTTTATTTTCAATTGGCGCAATTTGTTGATATTATTATTTTCGGAGGATATATTTGTACAATTTTTTTTTGGATAAAATAATTTTATAAGTTTTTATTTCCAATAATTTAAAATAACATTATTTTATAAATACTAGTAGACATAATTACCTATACAGTGGAATAAAAATATTAATGAATAAACTGATATATTTAAAATAATTTTATCTTTTAATTGCGTATTTCTTTATAAATCAAAAAGATAATGAGTTAAATCGAAAGAAATTTATTGCTGAAATAAATAAAATTTTTGCTGTATTTATAATATTGATTTTTTTGTTTTTCCGGAATAATTTTTTGACCGTAATATAAGCATCTGATGTACACATGAAAATTTTCTTTTTTCGAGCTTCAGCTAAGCGCTGCATGCAAATTCAATTTTAGTTACTGTAATTTTTCCGAAAATGTAAGGGTTTACCAATAGAACATAAATGTCTAAATAACAAAATATCAAAAATTATTTCGTCGCTGGGCTAATCAGGATACCATTTGTAAAAGTTTACTAATAAAGCATTTTGATCGAACCACTTTGTATACATGGCTTTGCAATAACAGATAGAGCGTTTCCTTCTACGATTCGTTATGTCCGATAGTCTCATCACGTTTCTCGTACGGTCTCTACATACATCTCGAAGACAAAAATTGCGACAAAACTGTATACAATATCGATTTTACCGAGTTCAATGAGAAAGCTAAAAATCTACTGCGATGTTTTCATAAGTGTTAACGTAAACAATTTTAAATTCAATTTACACATAAAAAATTTTTTACATTGGTTTTATATTAATTTTTTATTCTAAATTTTTCCTATAACTATATTCTATTAATACAAAAAATGACATATGCGCATTTTAATGATTAATATAATTGATACAAATGACATTTTATGCAATTATTTTGATAGTATATTTTATAACGTAATGGGATAAAAAATATGAGCATAGATGTATAATACATGTACCGTGCAAGGTATATATATAATATAATTTTTTGTAAAATAATTTCTTTTTATAGAAATGCTTAGCTTTCTGGTAAAAACTAATCTTTGTAGGTCATCGTTTTGTAAAAAGTTACTCTTTCTGTAACAATGCTTAATTTATAAAAAGCTTATGAAATATAT